GACTCAGGATTTGCCCATTCAAGTAGCACTGAGCTAATGCTGGTAGCTGTAGCAGTAAAGTTCTGTGGAGCACTAGCAACTATTATAAGTATAAAAATCAAGAAAAGCTAGCATGTTCATACCTCCAGTAAATATGTGAATGAGGTATGGTCTGCTAAAAAGACCTTGTCCAACAGATGTGCTGATGGAAGCCGAGACATTAATATCAGAATATTGTGGCAACCCTTAATAAATGAATTAAAATTGACAAACAAAAGATAGTGCCTAGGCTTACCTGACACATAAAGTACTGTTTCAGATGTATTATAAATATCCAGTTTCTGCATGTATTGCACCTTCACCATGTAATTCTGGATGAATCCTCTTCTGTGTTGAACAGGTGGTGGATTCCATGCAAGCATCACTGACTTTGATGTCAAAATAGTATGATTTGTCAAACTTGGAGAACGATTTGGGACTATATTGAAATAATTTGATTTGCATAAATATAGAATTATTATGACTTACCTCCTTCTAATGAATAAAATTCAAGCATTGTTGGTTGCCCTTTGCCAGCAGAAGTCGCAGCACTTACAACTGCAGTATAACGTGTGTATGGATCTATAGAAATATGGTATTTACATCAATACATTTCAAAAGATGCACTTACTTAAATTATGAACATTAATGATATTTACTGAAGAGTTGTGAGTTTCATTGTACACTCCCTTAACTGCTACTTCATAGAAAACTATTATCCCATTCTGTTCTTGAGGTAGTGACCAAGATATGTAGGCTGATGTCCCAGAGATTGACCTTACTGCTAGGCGAGACACTGGGCCAGGTTCTGTAATACATAGTAATTACTAACTAGGATATTCATTTATAGCATTGATATACTATTACCCTATTACCAATTCATGTAGTATATTATCTATGCTCAAAGGAAAATATCAATCAGCCAATCAAAAGCTCTGCAAATAAAAAAGATGCATGGCCATGATCATGCATAGTATAGGCCCCTAGTAAATGTTCTCTTCAAATTTTAACACTAATTTGTGTCAAAATTTTGATATAATAATACTAATTATTATTATTATTATTACAATTATTATCGTTATTATTATTATGTAAGTAAGGAGCCTACGAGACAAAACATGGGGGAAACAAAAAGAAAAAATTATAGGTACAATATATGAAACAACAGAGAAAAGGAGGGGGGACAAACACAAAGCAACAAAGAAGAAGGCCAAACAATAAAAGAAAACAGAAACAAAAACGGCGAAAACAAAAAAAACAAAGAAGCAAGCAAAAAAACAAACACAGACAAGTTAGATGAGGCCATCAACAGAGGCCGACAGTGATGGGCAATAAGTAGCCCACATTATTATTACTATAAATATCATTATTATTATTATTATATAATCAGCCAATTATAAATACCATAGATATATGATCATGGATAGCAATTAATATAATTGTATTTCAGTGAAAGTAATAAATTATGATGCATGTACTTCCTACTTTCTTCCTTAACATACTTTAGCCTTTTATAATTAGATTGGACATTGCTACTTTCACTGTTTTGGTATTTCCTCATTTTAATGAATGACATATCTTACTCAGATTGGGCATCACTATTTTCTTTTTCCTGAAGGCTCATGACAAGATATTACTTATGGTCTGTATTTGAATCACTTTTCCCCCATGCACCTTTCATTTCATTATTATGGCCAAGTAATTCATGTACATGCTAAATCCCTCTATTGCAAACTTCTACTAATATAATATTATTATTATTATGTCAATTCTGTTTGTAAAGGCTGTTTTGAATTAGGCCCCCATGCAGTGTTGCTATCAATAAAATATTCTTCTTAAACTTTTAACTCTAATGTTGGAAAGTTGATATTATTATTATTGTTATAATTATTATTATATCATTGGCCAATTATAAATACCATGGATATATGATCATTAGTATAATTACTATTACAGTGAAAGTAATAAGTACGCTGGGCATGTATTTCCTACTTTCTTCCTATGTGTTATTTAGCCTTTTATAATTAGATTGGGCATTGGTACTTTGACTGCTTTGGCATTTCCTCATTTCAATAAATGACAAATCATGCTTAGATTGGGCATCACTACTTTAGTATTTTTAATCAAAGGCTAATAGCTAAAGTACTCTTGCTAATAGCAATCAACCAACAACAATAATAAGTGTGATCCCACCGATAGTAATTGAACATGCATACACTACTCTATTATACTTACCTGCTTGATCAGTAAACACTGCAATTGGTGCAATTTCTGCTGTTTCTCCATTGTCACTGTGAGCCAATATGCTAGCATAGACTTGTTGACATGGTGATAGCTCATTCACTTGGTACTGGTTAATGTTACCAGAGACATTAACTGTAGCAATTGTTCCATTGGTGTAGTCTAGTGTCAGTACATAGTGGGTTATATTTCCTAGTGTAGGATTAACTGGTGGTGACCATTCAAATAAGATCATTGATCTACTGGTGCCTGTTACATTAAAAGATATTGATGGTTTCACTATAGCAGTAAAGTTTAATATCATTGATTCACTGGAGCATGCATCAAGTATGACTACTGACCATGGTAATATCTGATTTACAGCTAAAGTCTCTGGAACTATAAACGATATTTGTATTTCCCTTTCTTGACTCATCAGATCAATAGTAATAGAAGTACTGTCAATTTCCACAGATACTTCAGATTGTATGACAACAGACACAGAAGCTTGAAGCGTCATAGGACCACTCTTGATGTTTGATACAGCAATACGAGCTATTGAAGTCCCTCCTGGATTGAGAACAATAGGAGACTTTCCTTTTAGTTGGGCTTGTATTGATGGAGTATCAAATGTGACAAACGAGTTTGGGACAACATGAGTGAATGGTATTCCTCCAATATCATGTCCACGTAACTGGTACTGGACTGATCCACT